CAGGGATGGCAGGGTGCGGCTCCACCAATCTATCTCCCTCTCACACTCCCAGATACTCCTTAGCCTCTCCACTTCCTCCTTCAGCTCTGCCACCAGGCTGAGCAGATCATCCACCTGGTCACACCACACACAGGTGGTGTCTCTGCTACCCTCCGCTACAGCCGACAGGCTCAGGCACTCCCTGCAGCCGGAGAAAATTCAAGCCCCCAGAAAGTTTTCGTAAATGAAAGTTTATTAGATGCAAGAACCACTTGATATGCAGGAGGCAACTAGAAGGGAAAAAGGGAAAAAAACTGTGACAAAGCACGTGGCAAAGTGACAGTGTTGGACATTCTGTCTAGAGAAACCCAGATTTATGTCCTGGGTAGTATCTCATGCTGTGTTTGTAAAACCCTCTTATTTCTTGCAGAGCTTCCCTCTAATTCTTCAGGCTTGCGGTATGTTGCTGCTCTATCAGGATTTCTGAATGTAGTATTTCTGGGAGCTGTGATCACATTACTTCAGCAATGTGAGTGACCGAGTGAAGTGTTTTACTTTAATTCCTGTCAATGAATGTTTTGCTTTAACTTAAACAAGTTTTGCAAACAGACTGTTTTGATAAGGTGACAAGACTACTCATGCTTTCTACTACTGTGTTTCTGATGAAGGTGGGAGGGAGTCACCGGCATTTTGGGGCTGTGTATTTGCAGGTGGCCAGTGGCTTTCAGAGGACTGTTGCATGTTTGGAGTGTGCGAAGATAGCTGGAGTCTTTCTCACTTTCCCGTCCCCCAATCTAAGAGTCCCTCCTCTTCCTTTCCAAAACAGAACAAACCGCCAAGGTTTCTAGCCAAAGAATCCATCCATCCATCCATCAGTTTGGAAAAACTCTTTTAGTAATGAAATAAAAATGTGTGCTTCTAAGTCTATAAAAGTGGCCTTTGCACTGTCCACAGAATTTGTGCATAAGCACTGGGTCACTGCCAGCATTGATCAGAGCTTACCTATACAGCACAGATGTGTGCCATTATCCTTGGGCATCTAAACTTAGAGATCAGAGAGAAATGGTTGCAGTTGCCCCGGCCAAGCAAGTTGAACAGAATTTTAGGTTGCCATAAACAAGCATCTGAATATTGATCAAGGAATCTAATTTTAGTTTCCTCCTTTAGAAGACCTTGGCCTGGTAGTCCCCATGTCCAGCCTGCTTCTGGACTTCAAAATCACTTTGCACATCAAAATCACTTGAGAACCCATTAGAAAATGAAAATTCAGAAGCACTTCTGGGCATAAGTATCCTGCAGAGTCAGATGTTCTCCCTTTCACTGGATGCGAGTCCTGCCCTCTCACATCAACCCATTCTTTTCTGAAGTAAGCTCAATACAGATTTCAGGAACTGGAAAATCAAAGGCACAATCATGTTATTTGAAAGTTGCATACCATGTTGTCAAAAGCATGATAATAATGGACTCTACACGATCTTTGTGAAGTCAGTCACCTCAGGTATTCGTTTAATGTATGTGATTTGGATGCTCAACTCTCCACCTACCATTTGCAGGGGAGCTGGAAGGACAAATGAGCAATCTGAGTTTCCACTTAAAGCTCCCATTATTATCCACGGAAAAATACTATGGGGTTTCTGTACAGTTCACTTGTGAGCTTTACATTAAAATGTTGGAGATTCTTGTCCAGGTAACTTGCTATCAAGTGACATGTGGAAGCCCAGAGAAAATCTTTCTGAAAGTGACAGTATCTTTGAGGAAGGTCTTCATGAAAACAGCTTACTGACTACATTAAAGGAAAGCTTATGCATGCATACAAATGGTAAGGAAATAAAGTCTTGCTCATAGCATAAATGGTTTGAAGCTCTTGAAAATATTGATATAAAAATAAACACCTGCACAAAGGAATTGACCTTTAGATACCAGAATAAGCATGTTTATATTGATAAAGATGTATACAGTGATCTATTTTAGAAATGCATCCTTGAAAATTTTAGTTTAAGCAAAAAACAGAAGTGGAGCAGTGTTACTGAAGGTCTTTGTTATTTCTCCATGGATGCCATTGAATTGTACTACTCCCAGTGATTTCAGCAGAACTGGGATTTTATCCATGGCTTTTAACTCAATTATTATGTAAAATATTTAGTACAATTATCTAGAATTCTGAAATATTTAAAGGCACAGAGTGATCCCTAATCAAAAAATGACTATCCTTATTAATCAAATAATGACTATCCTTATTACTACTGTAAAGCAGGGACAATGTGGTTTCTTAAAACGAGCTATACTGTCACAATTTCTGCCCCACTCCTGGTTTAAAGCTTCTTACTCTCTTGTTCAAAAGCAGGAGCCAATAATAATGATATCAGTTGTAAAAAAAAAAAAAGAAGTAACAAAATCCCTTCGCCCCAACTTTTGACAGACTCCAGATGTGAACTCTGCCCCACTGGCTGGAAGCTGCATTACGGGAGATGTTATTTCTACTCAGAAACTCGTGACACCTGGGAGAATAGTAGAAAATATTGCTCAGGAGAAAAATCTGAGCTCCTGATTATAGAGGATGAGACTGAAATGGTAAGCTTGTAAGGCACTCTGTGGTTCAAATATTCTTTTTACTTATACTTTGTGAATCCGCATATGAAACTACAGTTTTCCATGTATTTTTAGAAGGCATTTCTAATCCAGATAAACTCATAAAAGGCATTGTCAGTGGTAAGTGCACTGATGATTGGCTTCTGCATATTGAGAAACATTTGTGTCAAAAAGACCAGTAGCCTATGTTTTGTTCAAATAGGTGCAATGATATGCCTAGAGATTATCTCCAGCAAGAAGCAGCTGGTATCTGAAGGGTTCTTGCATGCTTTATTCCAAATCAAACCTGTTCAGAACTTAACTGTTATAAAGGCTGTTGCCTTTCTTTTGGGGGATGGAGCTGTTTCTCTATACTGTGTACATTTTTAAATGTCAGTACCCGGTCTGCAGCAATAGAAAGAACAGTTCTGTGGACCAAATCCTAACCTGTAGAGTGTCTCTTTCATGCTACTGATTTTGCTCAAAGGTGACCAGGTTCAGACAGTCACTTCTAGAGCACCCAGGAGGGTGAGCTGGCAAAATGATCGCCTTCCTTCCTTGTAGAGGGGAAAAAGAGGAGATAGCTTCAGCTCCCATAATTCAGATCAGCCTGATCCTCATCTAAACTGTGCTGGTGGAATGGGCCTGGGGCCAGCAAGGAGCCAAAGGTTAGCTCTTTGGTTGCTCCACTTACCGTTGTTAGCCTCAGTACTGGGTGTAGTTGAGAATCTGAACTAATTTCCATGTGTTTTTTTTTTTTCTTCTCAATTTCTTGGAAGCATTCTCTGGAATCTATGGGCATGAAAGCCTTGCTGTTTTTAAAATATTAATTACCACTATACATTACTGGTACTGGAGTTTTATGAAGTGTCATTATTGTGAGAGTTCAGAGACATACCTCTCTCTAGGATTTCTTGAACAAACGGAAGGATAAAGACATTGGCTTTGTTTGGACTGGATTAAGCTTTGATGAGGAGGAAGGAAGATGGGTATGGCTCAATGATCCCAAACATCCAGGGCATAGGTAGGTTCATTCTGAAGTGAATCTGTGCTGGCTTCTGCAATGCCTTCTCCACTCGCTGTGCCTGGGCTGTTCAGCCGTTAGACCATGAGAAAGTAGTAGTAGTAAGATACCAGGGCCCATAGTCCAGTTAGGCAGCTCAGCCTATTCTGATTTTTCTCAGTACAGATTTCTGATCAAAACATGCAGTTGAAAAATGAAATTCCTTGACAGTGCTCTGAAAAGGAACTAATTTTATCAGGAGGTGCCTATGCTGTGTAAGCTTTTTACTTCCAGCTGCACAACAAGTAGGGAAACAGAGAAAGGGTGAAGCTTACTAAACAAACAAAACCTGTCTGTATGTCAGGGAATCAAAAGAATGACAGCATAAAGACAAAAAAATCCAGTCTTTGTGGTTTCACTCTTTGTATATGCAAACAAATTTGTGTTGTTTGGCTCTTGCAGTTTTACAATAAAAGGAAGGAAGAAAGAAGAAAAATGTGCTGCCTATAAGCTGACAGAAATGCATGCTGATAACTGCCACTCCCTATACAAGTGGATTTGCAAGAAGAGTGCAGTGCTTCTGGGTATCTAAGACACTGTAAAGTAAAAGTGAATAGGGTCTTTGAAGATTTACACCACTTTACAGTGGTGGGATATCTGATGTAAAATTAAGGGGAAATTGTTGACCGGAATTGTGATGAATCAATGCATTGTGATTCTATTTGTGATTAAAGTCCAGGAAGATTTCAGGCTTGTGTCTCTCTTCTTTTCAGGATGAAGGCATAAAATCTGTGTGTCTTTTGTGCATGCTGATGCACTGCCCCTTAGAGCTATTAAAATAAGCAGCTTACTAACTTTAAGTAGCTTATAGAGTTGTGTAGACCACAGGTAAAATGAAGGGTTTTTTTACCAGCCTGGCAGCTAGATCATACAGCAGGCAAAAGGTTGCTGTTGCTACTTACTTCAGGTGAAGAGGTGGTAATCAGTGCTATGCACTTAAATGAGGCTGCAAATCTCACCACTGGAGGTCCAATATATGAAGACGGCATAGATCTACACAAGAGAAAGTCAAGATCCAGTATTTTTTCCAAAAAGTTTAATTTCATGTATGTCACTCAGTGTTACAGAATTCAGCACTTAAAAAACCCCATAAATACCTCTTCAATTTGCATGTAAGATTTAATTGCCTGATGTGATGTCTTTGTTCTGTTAGCATGCTAGAAATGGCAAAATCACATTTATGGGGCTAAAGGGCTGTAAGCCTTTCTTTTGTTAGTTCACTTCACAGACACTTTTTACAAGTCAAAAATGGATGTTACAACCCTCCTACACCTTGATCAGGATGAGGCAGCAGATCTCAGAGACGTTTGCTCTTTTCTGTCTGCTCTTGCCTTGAGAGAACTTGTACAGGTCTGAGAGTAATCTATAGTTCTTCATTGTTATGTATAACCATAACATACTAAACATTTGATTTTTATAGCTAAGAAAAATGAGTATCACGATTAAAATGATGACTCTAGGATGTAAAGCCAAGTTCCAAACTCTTCTAGTTGAGGAAGATCGCTCTGAGAGGCACTTCCACCAGGACTGGTACACTGCATTTTGGACTGTGGTAGCAATGTGGGTTACTTGGTGATTTGTCTGGTGTACAGTAACCTCTCCCTTTGTGGCTTTTGTACCACATGTCAGACTTCAGGTGTAAGAGTGGGTACTCTAGCATTTTTGACAATTGTTTGAAAAATTGTTGAAAATTGCTCGGCAATTCCTAAAGGCATTGAGCCTAACATAGCATACAATTGCAATGATTCCTGTCAGCTGAGTGTTGCTTCTATAGGTATGATGTAATTAGAACCACATCCTTCAGCAGAAATTACTTTACATACACATCTATTATCAGATAGATTATACACAGTGAGACAGTTTACACTAATTTGTGGGCGCTTGATGAACACACAATTGCAATGGTGTTATACATTTCTGACATTATCTGGCTAGCTCCTTGATAACAAAAAATCTTTTTCATAAAATTGGTACATGGATGTATGTCATACTCGTATGTAGTTTTTGATATCTCCGTAATTCAGGAACTCCTGGTTTCCACCATGACCTGTTTTCTATCTATCCCAGAAGCATCCACTTTTACATAGCTGTTTTATACCACTGGCATCATATATAACACTACACAAACATGCAGTCTTTCCAGTCCTAGGGTTGCAAATGGGCACGTAATAGCATACATTCTTCTAAAATACAATTTACCGTTGTAATTATTTCTATACTTCATTGATTAAGCTTTGCTTTTCGTAGCACTTAAGCTATTATGTTTCATAAACACACAGCATCACATCAATGTATGTTTATGTTACATAAACAAAGTTATATTAGTGATCATGATCACTGTTATTAATAAAACAGGGTTTCCCTTGCTTGGAGATGGGAACACCTTACAATTGGTTCCATTTTTTCCCCATTATTCATAGATGAATGTGATGGTCTTGATTTTAACTTCAGCCATGGGAATTGACTAAAAAACCCCAGTATTATACCTTTTCCATTTCATATGTACATATACAACAACAAAAAGAAAGCAATACCAGCTAAACCAGATCAATGCAACCTATAAGTAGCCATACCTTTAGGGTTGAAGCAGATTACTTGTTCTTCTGTACTACTCTTTTTATCCTTCCTTGCTTCTCCACACGCAAGGTCCATACAACATAGTCCATACTAACACCCTGCTTCACGCTTACCCTCTTTCTCCAGTTCCACTGCTGCAGTCCACTGTTAGCAAATGTTACAGGCTGGACTAATTCTAGTGTGTTATTATCCCCTTTTCTCATTTCTTATAATTCTCCTGGCTTGCTGGATCCCTTTTGCTGGTTCTACCCAAGCCATGGTTGATCTCACTGCTCAGTCTGATTCACTGTTTGTCGCTCAAGCTAGATTCTTATATGTCAATCATGGGGCTTTTCTTTAGTTTAACCACCCCTTCAATTCAAGCATCATCATTTAGGGGCCTTATCATTTGCATTATTACACTAATCTGTTCTGAGTCTAATGTGATAGTGATTTGCTCTGTTCTGTTCTTTACCATATCTCTGGCCCTTTATGTTTTTACAATGGCTTCAAAAACTAAACGTTCCCTTGGGGTTTTCAGACGGTTCTCTATTGTGGAGCTCTTTTTGCAATGGGGCAGATGGTAATGGATAACCATACTCCTCCAGACTCTTCCTAGCGCAAGCTTTATAATTCCTTATCTTGGGTGGATCCCAATGTTGTCTAAGTTCCACTTAAGATCCCTTTCCTGCTTTATAGCTGTGTTTAATGTCCTGGGGCAAGGCCACACACAACAACTGTTCAAATGCAACCAGGTCATAATTTGGGGCTTGTCTGCCTCTATTGTTTAGAAGACTATGGGCAGAGGGTGACAACTTTTTCCATGCCAAATACATTTCTACTCTTACATTTGACTTGTGCTAATATATATAATACAACACAATGTATCCACTTATAATGATCATTTATTACTGCGAAGATTGCATCTATATCAATTCTTCCATCAGTCCACCCAGAAGCTGTAGCAGATGTTCAAGAGGAATTCTCTTGATCAGTCATGGTTAAATGAGTATTAGCATCTAACTTAAGAAGCCATTTAATACACAGGTTTTTTGTTTAAAGGATCTGCTTTTGGGGCCAAGACTCTTAACTGTTCTGGGATCTGATGAGCAGTAATCATTATTTCTTCCCTAACAACTCAATCTGACTCTGGTTGTGTATTTCTCCTTTTTTTCCTTCTGTTTGTCCATCTCCTGTTTTTACAGTAACTCAGGTAGTGATGGGTGATACAGGATTCACTTTTAACACTGGCAGCACCTCAGCATCAGAAGCATGTGGACTTTTAGCCTTATACTTCTCTGTGAAAGGGTCACTATCTCGATCAAACCATTAACCTCCATCAGAGGCGATTCTAAGTCAGAATCATCATAAAAGGGTGCTTTCGCAAGAGCTGTGTCCGTTCCTTGCTTTGCACATAATGGTGCTCTACAGCTTCAATCCCTTCTAGAGTTTTGCTTTCTCAGCGTTTTAACTCAACAGACTCCTATTTCAGAATTTAATTTCTCGCCTTTGCTTTTGAAGTCTGAATTTCCTGAGCTAGCCTATGTGTCACTGACCACATTGCCCATATGGTGTATCACTTGATCTCTTTACAGGAAAGTTTTGGTCTTAGCACTTTAAAGTTTGCAAACTCCTGGTCAGTATCTGTGTTATGAAAATTGGGCTCTGAGGGCTTGAGCAACCCCGTTCCCCAAGTCCAACAGTTCTTATAAAATGGAGATGGAGTATAAGCAAGATGCTTGCCAGGACCACAGGAACACATTAGCTGCATTCCTGGTCTTCTGTGGTCACTGGAGGCTGCCATCCACACAAAGGCTTTTACAGAAAAGCTGCTTGCAGTCTTTGTTACACTCAGAGTCTTATTATGGTCAAACAGGAAATGCACACCTTATGTACAAAGCCAAGAAGTCATTGTTTGGCTAGCTAAAGTTGTAACAGTCTAATCAGAATATAACAAACAAATTATTAGTCCAGCTACAATAATACCGCACAGTCCAAATTATCAGAAAAAGCCTCATTAATAGTACATTAAAATTGCTGACATATACTTCCTAGTAGAGTTTTGTTCATCATTGCAATGCCCCATGAGTCCTACGTCTATGGTACCTGTATTCCACGAGAAGAACAGGGAGAGGGGGTGTGCGGAGTCATCGACTGGTGTCCACCTGTTGTTGGTGGAGGTGAATTTTTTCCTCCTCATTCTTGGGTCGAACTGGAGTTATATTTTCTTTGGTTGCTAACATAGTCTGCTTAGTTGCTCTTCTTTCACTGGCTCCCAGCTAAAGTTTGACTATCTTTCTTTGACTGTCTTCTTAGTTAAAGATACGCAATAGCCTCTGTAGCCTCAGTCTATGACGTTAATATTTGTTACTAAATAACAGCATAGGTCAGCTACACCTTTACTGTATGTGGTATTCACAGAGCTACTTAAAAACAAGTTATGCAATTGTTCCCTGGGTGCTAGACAACTGCTGTCACAGCTAAAACAAGCTGAAATCGGCTCAGGCCAGACAAGTGCAGACAGATCCTGCACGGACAAATCAAAGACTCTCACTTTTCCTACTAAAGTGAAAATCATATTTACTGGGCTACAGGGCTGCCTTGTGGCTCTTTTCCATGTTCTCTCACAGCCTTTCTGCAGAACAGTGAATAGGCCTTTCCTGTGGATGTAATCTGAATATTGTATGGATGTCAATCGAAAGTGGTTCCTCCAAAGACACATGTCTGTTCCTACAAAGACACAGAATTGTAATCTGAATGCTTGCTCTTCCTATTTCTACATCATGTGCCTCAACCTCTTGAATGCCATTCAAGTTTTTTCTGTGAAATACAAATTCATCAGTATTTTTAAGTGTAGTGTCAACTGACTGGTATACTTGCAAAGTGAAAAAATGGTTGTGTCAGGATATCCAGCCAAGCCTAGAAAGCTCAGCAGCTTCTTTGCTTTCACTGCTGTGCTAATTTTGCTGGAGTCCAGCAGGCACACAGATTTACAATGAAACATGCTAAATAAATATGCTGTAGCCAGAAGGAAATCATACGTTGCCTGTCAACAGAAAAGTCCATGTAGCTAACCAAATATTACTGTTAAAGGTGCAAAATAAACAAGCTAAATAACAGATAA